TAACTCATTCCCTCTCACCTTCCCCTGTTTCCCCTCTACTGTAAGAGCCTTTTCTTTTCTGAACAGCAATTTTTTAAAGGGCTCATGCCCATAAAGAGAGTGTGAACTGATTCCAGCTTATACATAGTGATCCTAAAGGCATCTCCCTGACACTTAACTTTCCATTATTTGCTCTTTTCTTCACTGTAAAACAATATACAACTTCAACTTTCTATTCTGCTAGAGGCACTTAGGAGGTATGGTGGATAGAGCTGGACCTAGAATTAACAATCCGTATCTTGCCTTAGGTGGTTAGTACAACTTCTCTCTCCCCCAGTTTTCTTATCTGTAAAATGGTGATAATAATAACACCTATCTTCCAGGGTTATGTCAATGATCAAGTGAGATAACACACATGCCATGTGCACACGCACATGTGCACACAAACATGTGTACTTTCTCACATACATAATGCTTTGCAAACTTAAAATGTTATTTAAACTCAAAATGCTATTATTATTACTGACCAAATGTATGTTTGCTACTAAACAAATAAAGTTAGGGTTGGAAAAGAGCTCTTATCAAGGTAGACATTAAAATAGACACATCAACATCCTTTCACAGTGTTAAAAATCTTTCTATTCTGAGTATTTAATATAGATGTTAACAGAACATACTGCGTAGATTCTTTTCTGACTTTTTTTCTAAACTAAACTTTTGGTATCATTGGTTTAAGAAGATCTCTGCAAGGAAATTTCTTCTAAAAATACAAATCTGCAAGTATTCTGTAAATAATGGTCTTAGAGAATGCTTTTGGGGAGAATGGGGTGGTGGTGGTGGCGGTGATGGTGGTCATGATATGTATACATTGAGAGGTTAACTATCTAGCCCAGAGTCACACAGCCAGCATGTGTTAAAGCTGGAAGTCCAAGGTTGCTCTTCTCATCTGTTACCAGTTTTCTTTTAACAATCTCTTATTTATTCATTCCCCAATTGACAAATGGTCAAAGGATATGAACAGGCAGTTTTCAGATGAAGAAATTAAAGCTATCATATGAAAAAATGCCCTAAATCACTATTGATTAGAGAAATGCAAATCAAAACAATTTTGAGGTACCACATCACACCTATCAGGTTGGCTAACATGACAAAGCAGGAAAATGATAAATATTGGAGAAAATGTGGGAAAATTGGAACACTAATAAATACATTTTTGGTGGATTTGTGAACTGATCCAACCATTTTGGAGAGTAATTTGGAACTATGCCTAAAGGGCTATAAAAATGTGCACACCCTTTGACCCAGCAACAGCACTACTAGGTCTGTATCCCAAACAGATCGTAAAAATGGGAAAAGGACCCTGACGTACAAAAATATTTATAGCAGCTCTTCCTGTGGTGGCAAAGAATTGGAAATTGAGGGGACACTCATCAATTGGGGAATGGCTGAACAAGTTGTGGTATATGAATGTAATGGAATACTATTGTGCTATAAGAAATGACGAGCAGGCAGACTTCAGAAAAACCTGGAAAGACTTGTATGGACTGATGCCAAGTGAAATGAGCAAAACCAGGAGAACACTGTACACAGTAACAGCAATCTTCTGTGATGACTAACTTTGATAGACTTAGCTCTTCTCAGCAAATGCAAGCATCTAAGAATCTCCAAAAGTTTCATGATGGAAAATGTTATCTGCATCCAGAGAAAGAACTATGGAGTTTGAATGCAGATGGAAGCATACTATTTGCCCTTTTTTTCTTCTGTTTTGTTTTGTTTCTTTTTTCTGGTGGTTCCTCCTATTGGTTCTAATTCTTCTTTACAACATAACTAATGTGAAAATATGTTTAACAGGAATGTGTATGTAACGCCTATATCAGATTGCATGCCATTTTGGGGAGCGGGGAGAGGAGGGATGGGGAGAAAATTTAAAACTCAAAAGCTTATGGAAGTGAATGTTAAAAACTAAAAATAAATTTATGTAAAAAAATCTCCTATTTATGTCACACACCACATAGAAGGTTAATAAACATCAATGAAAGTAAACCACTGAACAAAATCCAAACTCAAAAAGCTAGAACCATTGCTCACCTAAATTCTAAGGACATCTCTCTCATTCCCTTTTCCCTTTACTCTCCTGGCCAAATAAATCAATTTTAAGATGCTCTTCAGCTTCTTCTTTAAGCTTTGACTTAACTCAATTAAACCAGTTAAGAAGGATTTAGTAACGAAAAGTTCAAGCAATTCTATTTCTTTATTCATCAGTTAGGGAGAGACCCATAAAAAATATACATACCATGAACTTTAATAAGAACTGGGGTAGATGAGGAGGAACCTCCTGCTTCTGTTGGTTCAGAAATGTTTACTTTCTGAGATGTTATTAAAGGAGGGTTAGGATGTTTCCGTATAGTTCCTGCATATATTAACATTGAGATGGTTAGTAGGATGAATAATGAATGCATGTATGAGTGTAAAGCTCTGACAATCAGAAAATGTTTGATCTATATTTTAAGAGAATATGACATTGAGAATGAGTTTCACCAAGACAGTTGCAGCATTGTGTTCAGGAATGTCTGCTACTCTAGAGCACTGATATTTCATTGATGTTAAGATGGTTTTAAGGCCTTATAAGGTTGGTATGTGTCATATTTTCTTGGATTTGGAGTCAGAGTTCTATTTAACTCTGTTTCTTAATGCAGAGAACTGTGGGGAATTACATTAATTACATGTACATGGTTTTATCTAAAGCCCTAGGTTTACTGTAGTTTGTATATGACATTAGAAGCATAGGTTTTCAGAGTGGGGAAGAAGCTTAAAGATCTTTTAGTTCTGGGGGTCCAAAAACATGGATGGGAAAAGAATTAGTCTTCATTTCAATATAATTAATTTCTTTTGTTGCATTCTTGTGTATTTTATTTTATGTATTTAATGATATTATTTTAAGAAGGGGTCACAGGCTTCACTAGACAAACAAAAAGATCCATTTAGGAATGTGCTGGGACAAGCTCTTCCCAGCTTTAATTGTTAAATTTCTTAGTATATTTACAGGTTGGAAATCAGCAAATACTAGAAATCAGACTATTTATTTCTTTTTAAAAAAATTTTTTAATTTTTTGGTGAGGCAATTGGGGTTAAGTGACTTGCCCAGAGTCACACAGCTAGTGAGTGTTACATGTCTGAGGCTGCATTTGAACTCAAGTCCTCCTGACTCCAGGGCTAGCGCTTTACCCACTGCACCACCTAGCTGCCCCCAGACTATTTATTTTTTCATGGAGCCCCTTGGATAGCTCTGAAGAATTGTTGGGTTCCATGGAACACAGTTTAGCAATCATTGCACCCATCTATTGATTCTTACAGCTTACAGCTTCTCAAAAAGATGGGAGAAGTGGGAAGATTGGAAAAAAACTATTTTCTCCCTTTTGTATTTCTCTCATTCATCAATAAAGTTTATACCCAGTGGGTCTAGAAAGCAGAAAATGACAGGGATGAGACTAATGCCACTAAAAAAAAGAAATATCTTTAATAATTCTAAAAAACCCCAAAGCCTTCAACCTCCTGGACTCTGAGATTTTTCCAAAACTCTGAAAAACAAAGTTTGTTTTGCTTTTTGGTAAAATCACTTAGGAAAACTTTCAATGTTAAAAACACATTAAAAACATAAAAGATAATCAAAGAAATAAACATAAAAATAATAAAATATGGGAAAGGAATAGAGGACAGAATACTTAAAAGGTCCATTGTAAGGTTTGCAAAGGATCTCTTCTCTTCCTATGCCTATAGTAAGAACTCCCCTTCTTAGCATTGCTGTTATAAGGGAAACTCGGTAGCATGTCACGTGGAATCTTATGTAAATTTGGATGAATGTCACTCACCATTCTGAGCTGGTCCCAAAGTCAGAAAAACATAATAGAGGCCATCAGGATCACTTTGTTCAATTGATATGGGATTGCTGGTGATGAAATTGCATTTGATGACACCGTTGTGGAAAGATGTCTCTATATTCCTCACTTCACCCTATAACAAGGCAGACAGAGGATTACTGTAATTGCCAGATGCTTTATTTCCATTAGAAAGCTCTGAAACACTGTATTAAAAATTTTTTAGAGTTTCACCTTTATTTTTACTTTTTCAAGTTTCACCTGTTATCTGTCCAGTGAAAATAGTATAAAGCACAATCATTTTTTTTTTTTGGCATTACAGGAATACCTCATTTTAAGCAAGGAAATCTTGATTGACAAAGCAATAATGCTTGTGTGTGTGTGTGTGTGTGTGTGTGTGTGTGTTTTAGTCTACAAAACACTGAGTTACCCTACATTATCTCGTTGGATCAAATAGGCAGAGCGGGTATTCATTTTATGGATGAGAAAAAGGAAGACCAAAGAGCATAAATGATTTGTCCATGGTGTTAGGGCTAAAAAGTCAGGGTGTCAAAGCCAGGGCTAGAATCTACTCCAGTTACTTTTGATTTGAATGATAAGAATGATTGCATGGTGTTTATTTGGAGATCAAATACAAATCACTATATAAAGTGCTTTGCAAAATTTAAAGCAACATATTAATGTTAAATATTAATAATATTTATATAGTACCTGAAATCTTATCTCATTTGATCCTTAGTGTTTTTTCCATTTGAAATAGGTTTCAAATAGCAAAAAGCCAGTTTACATGCAACTGCTCAAAAGCGTAGTTTTAAGGTGAGGTACGCCTTGTCTATAGCTACTTAACACCATTTAAGACCATCTCACGAGGTTGAGTTTTTATAGATATGCTTTCAATATCATAGGAAAAAATGCTTTATAAATCTTCCAACACTATCTATCTATCTATCTATCTATCTATCTATCTATCTATCTATCTATCTATCTAT